GTGTGTGTGTGTGTGTGTGTGTGTGTGTGTGTGTGCGCGCGCGCGCGGGAGCATGCCCACTTCAGGTGTCTTCCTTGGGAGGCAGCCTCTGTTTAGTTTTTGTTTGTTTGAGACAGGGTCTCTCCATGGGACCTGGGCTTACTGATTAGGCCTGGCTGGTTGTCCAGCTGCCCCAGGGAACCTCCTGCTTGGGCCTCCAAAGCCCTGGGCTTACAAGCACAGGGCCCCACCTGCTGTTTTCTATGAGTTCGGCAGATCACACTCAGGTCCTCATGCTTGTGTGGCAAGCGCTTCACTAATGCTTCACTAATGCTTCACACCCAGCTTCAAGGCTGGCTTTTCAGAGCTTCTTCCACACAAGAGAGAGAACTTGCACCAGCTGCCCTTTTGTGTCCTTCTTACTCTTCTTTCCTAGCATCCTCATGCACAACTTAGGGATTAGAACTCACAATAACTTCTTACGCGTTTCTGAATGACTAGAGATTCTGCCCAAAGAGCTTAACACGAGCAACGATAAGGAAGCAGTACATTAATGACCTAATTTGATGTATGCACATTCTGAGCAAATACTGAACCCTCAACTGTCTCAGAAATATGTACAATCATTTTATGTTAATTATAGTCTGGAAGGAAGTAGTAGGGGCAGACTTTGAATGTGACTGTCTCGTTTGGTTTGGCAGAGCTGAAGGACACTTTCTGAAATGCCTTCAAAGAAGGAAGGTCAGTTAGTTGCTCCTCAACCTCTCTGAGCTAGCAGGTTTTCACCCCACCCTCTGACTCCCGAGTCTTTATCGGTAAACAGAACAACTGAGATATAGTTAAAAACTGTATTTGGTGGCAGCAGCAGGAGGCAGATATGGCGGGATGTAGATGTCCAGCTGGCTTGCAGCCTGAGAAATGGGCCAGTAACTGCAGGGCCACAGTTATTGGCTGAAACAGCAGTAGCTTCAGGTACAGCTGCTGTGCTGGTGAAAACAACAGAAACCCTTGCTATTTGTTTGCTCTCTGCTGCCTGTCAACATGAAGAATGACCTCATCTTTCTTTCTCACTGGTGTGTATTAGAGCTAGTGCAGAGACCAGCACACCAGGTTCTCACACATTTGCAAAAGTGAATTACAAACACTGATTTCTGGCTGGCAAGAGGGCTCAGTAGTTAACAGCATGTATTGCTCTTGAAGAGGAACCCAGTTTGGTTCCTACCAGCTACAACAGGCAGGTCACAACCACCTGTAATTCCAACTCAGGGAGATCTATGCCTCTGGTTTCCAATGGTGCTTGCACTTATGTGCACATACCCACACATATATACACATAATTAAAAACAGTAAAAAGAAATTTTTGGCTTTTTTTTTCTTTCTGAGATAGAGTTCGTCTGTGTAGTCCTGGCTGTCCTGGCACTCACTCTGTACACCAGACTGGCCTTGAACTCACAGAGATCTGCCTGCCTCTGCCTCCTGAGTGCTGGATTAAAAGGCATGCACCAGGAATTTTTTTTTTAAAGAACACTGGTTTCTGGAAGTTTAGCCAGCATCATCAGTCAGTCACTCTGGCTTCTGTAACACACCCATCACCCAAGCCTGCTGCTCTCGGCTTGCAGGCAGCACACTCACTGGAGATGGAAGTATAGACAGCGAAGGCTCTGAGGCTGGTCATCTCCTTCCTGCGAGTCATCTCCACCCTTGAGCAGAAGATGTTCTCCCAGGCATACAGCTTGAGCAGCTTGATGCCCCGGAGCATCTCATTGGTCTGCTTCAGCCTCTCATTGGAATATTCCTGGGGGCAGGAGTGGTGGTGTGTTAGTACAGGGGAGATACCTGTGGCCCTAGCTCAGCCCAGAAGGTACCAAATCCATGCCCTTACCATCTGCCCAGCTCCTGTCCCTACAAGCATATTCCTGGCCAGCCTGTTAAGTGTATTTCATAGAGACTGAGGCCTGGACTGTGAGTGTGGGGAGAAGGAGGCCACTAAGATGAGGGCCAGGGAGGCAGACATGGGGAAAGGCAGAGATAGAACATGCATATCCTGGGACACTCACCAAGGTGCTCCGTTGTGCCTGGGAGAGCTTGGTGGCCACAAAGTACTGTACAGGAGCCAGCAGAATGATGACAGCTGCTCCAATCAAGGCACTGACCCCAAGGATGTAGTAGAGAAGAATCACTCCCACAATGATCTGGAGAGATGACAGAGGAAGAACTCTGCTCCAGGGCTGCCTTGCCAGAGACCATTGCCACCACTCCCACCATCATCCCCTTAGAGTGGGGCATACGTAGAGCCCAAGTTTTCCAAAAGCCTTGGAGATGGAGTAGGGCACATGACCAGGTGTGGGAAGGCAATATATTGATTGGGTGCACACACACAGTTGAGGCTCTGAGCTGGTAACCAAGGGCATTTACCCGAAAGCTAGCTGAAGGGCTGATTTCCTCTCTAAGTCTGCTTTCCCAAGGAGGGTCTGAGGATTGAGACAACACCATTCATTCTATTTGCTGAGACTGACATCTCACTCAAAATAAGCTACTGGTGGGTGGTGTGCATGCCAGGCAGAACTGCACAGGCACTGAGAAAATGCTGTGCATTTATGGTCTAGGTGGCTTGCCTTCTAATCTTATTTTTTATTTTTACGAGAGTCAGAGTCTCATGTATCCCAGACTGGCCTTGAATAGGCTGTGCAGCTGAAGATGGCCTTGGAGTTCTGATCCTCCTGCCTCCACCTACCTGAGTAATAGGATTAGAATAGGCTAGGCAAGCACCCAACCATCTGAACTGTATCACCACCTACCACTGACCCCTTTTGTGCTACTGGGGATTGAATTGGGGGCCTCTCACTCACTAGGCAAGTGCTCTATCACTGAGTTATACCCTCTAGGCATGTTCTCCTGTACCCTTTCACTCAACCCATTAAAAATTGGTTTTTTTTGAGACAAGGTCTCACAAAGTTATCTGTGTAGGCATCAGTCACTAAATCACTAACCCAGGCTAGCCTTTCACCTGTAATCATCTTGGCTCAGTCTCCCAAATAGCTGGGATTACAGGTTTAGTTTCCGTTGTTTTGAAACAGTCTTGTGGCACAGCCCAGGGTTACCTGGGACTTGAAAGTGTCCTACTCAGTCCCTCAAGTGCTGGGATTGCTGGTGTAAACCACCACACCTGAGCCTGGTGTCTTCCAATTTTTATTGAGCCTGACAGGCTTTCTAGCTTTATGTAAATGACTGCCTATTTATAACTATTCATGAGAAATGTAAATCAGCTCCTGGATGACCATTTTCCAGGCTGTAGTCAAAGAGGAGCACCTTTCACTGTGGGTTATGCTATAAGAACAGACGTGCCGGCCTTCTTAGTTGAAAGAAGAGAGAAAAGGAAGTCCGCTTGGCTTGGTCCTGCAGTTGGCCAGAACTGTGCCAATCTGGCTTGAGACTCCCTGCCTCAGTTCTAGGATGGAGTAGATGGGGCGCTATGCTTTTTATTAATCACAGAAAGCCTCCCTCATTAGCAGGTGACAGAGGCTGTGAAACAATCCCATCACTACCCTCTTCCTATGCTTAGCTGACATTAGAGGCTAACCCAGTGGGCAGAGGGCCATGTGAAGAGATGAGCCTCCTACTTGATAGCTCCACTGACTACTTTCCTGGAGTCCTGCCTGGCGCAACCCTTCATTCTTACATGAGCTGTGCATGTATAGTGACAGGCAGGATGTCCTTCAGACATCAGGGTCATTCCAGACTCTGAGGAACCTTCCAGGGTGCCTACCTAGGATTATTTGTAGGGGCCTCCACATCACTAACTCCAGGGTCTCACTCCGTAGCTCAGTTGGCCTGACACTTGAAGCAATCCTCCTGCCTCAGTCTCCCAAGTACACACTAGCACTTTCCACCAGAATGTCATTTTTAAAATGTGTGTGGTTTTAAAACAGATTACAAACCTGGGAGAGGAGCAAATTTCAGTATCATAAAAGGCCCATGAGTACTGGGTCAGCAGGCTAGCCCCAGAACTCCAACCAGGTGGGCTCTCCTTGCCATGAGGTTAAGATGATATCATTTGTGTGTGGGGGGGGGTGAGGGTGGTGGCCAGGAGCTAACCCAGGACTCACACATGCTAAGCAAACACCCTGCCACTGAGCTACATCCCAACCCTCATTTCTTGTGTGCTGGCCAGTTTTATAAGCATGAGTTGCAGCCTCTGATGGATTAAAAAATGAAAATCAGTTGGGTGTGGTGCTAGTATACAGGAAATGACATGAGCTCAGAACCCGGGGGCTAGTCTGGCCAACAAAACAAGACCCCATTTCAGATAACTTCAACAGAATGGCGTTGAACTTGCTCTGTGGCTGAGGATGACCCTGGGGTTCTGATTCCTCCCCCCTCCACCAACATCTCTGGTTTATGTGGTGCCGGGGATGGAATCCACTGAACAATCATGCTACCAACTGAGCTACATCCCAAATCCCTACAATACAAAACTTTTAGTATTTACAAAACTGTTCCTTGTATGACTATCCTATGGGTCGTTTAAAGTTGGCTATCTGTCCTAATGATACTATCTTCTATGATCATGGAGAGATGTCCAGATGGCCTGCAGTGCCTGGGGAACTGGGGGAACCAGGAGTACATCTCATGGTTAGACTCCGGGTATAGAAGACACAGGTAGCCACAGAATGGACACAGGTAGCCTCTGGTTTTGTGTCCTAGTATCTCCCATTTCTCCCGCCCCTGGTACCCTACATCCCCAGCACAATCTGATACCTGTACTGGCATAGCCCAGAGGTTTGGGCACAAGAAGAAGAACCACATGAGTTGATTTGTGTCGATGGCCACCAGGTTGCAGATCTGCCCAGCAGTCATTTCCCCCATTGACAGGTTGGAGGTGGACAGGTGCATGATTTTATTGTAAATCTTGGTCTAGAAATGAGAGTAGAAGAGCTCCACATTTGTCATCATCACCATCTCTGTCACCACCCCAGACCTGGACAGGGCCAGTGGCTTCTCTGACATCCATCCCTACAGAGCCCTAGCACAGATCTGTAAGGGGCTCTGTCATAACTTTACAGTGATCTATACCATAGATCAGTAAGTCGAGAGGCAGGATCCAAGGCCAAAGCAGCTACTTCCCCAGCAAGCATGACCTCTCCCTTGAGAGACAAGACATAATTAGCTCCTAAATCTTAAAAGTGGGACCTCTCATATCGATTTGTGTTCTTGATTTAGTGGGGGCCAGTGCAGGACACATTCAAGAGACATAAAAATGATGAATTGAGGAGCATCCCGTTTTAGTTGGGTCACCTCACCCTGGGGCTACATCAGTCAGCCTCAACAGACCTGGTCAGTCAGCCTGCAACATCCCTTGAAACCCAGCCACCCTGAAAACCTTCACAGAGCAGCATGGAGGGTGAATGCTGCCTCCAGACTCAGACCTGAAAGTTTTATGTGCTGGTTGTTTGCACCTTCCAGAAAGATTGGATTTTCAAGCTACATGCTCTGGAACAAGGAAGAATTGTGTCCTGTCTTAAATGTCCACAGGGCACCTGCTCTTGGACACAATTGTACCACACTTCTGTGGCAAAGCCTTTAATCATTTTTGTTTGAAGCTCAGCGGTTTTCTGAAAGCGTGAGTCTCTTCCAGGTCTTCCTGGGGTTTGCATACAGCAGGGGTGGAGGGGAAGGCTGGAAATAATGGCGATGGTATTTTTGGACAAATTCATTCACTTTCCTAGCTATATAAAATTAAGCTTTAAAGACTAACCAATAACTTTTTTTGTGATTATCTTTTCCTTTTTTCCCTTTCTCTCCATTTGTCACTTAAATTAGAAACAAGATTATTTTACATGTCAATCCCAGTTCCCTCTCTCTCCCCTCCTCCCCTACCCCCCCTACAACTAACACCCTACCTATCCCATAACCTTTCTGCTCCCCAGGGAGGGGGATGCCTTCCATGGGGGATCTTCAGAGTTTGTCATATCCTTTGGGATAGGGCCTAGGCCCACCCACTTGTGTCTAGGCTCAGGGTCACCTCTATGTGGAATGGGCTCCCATAGTCATGGGCTAGGGATAAATACTGATCTACTACCAGAGGTCCCATGGATTTCTGAGGTCTCCTCACTGGCAGCCACATTCATGGGGTCTGGATAATTCCCATACTGGTTTCCCAGCTATCAGTCTGGGGACCAAGTGCTCCCCCTTGTTCAGGTCAGCTGTTTCTGTGGGTTTCACCAGCCTGGTCTTGACCCCTTTGCTCATCACTCCTCCTTCTCTGCAACTGGATTTCAGTTCAGCTCAGTGTTTAGCTGTGGGTGTCTGCTTCCACTTCCACCAGCTGAACCAGCAACTTTCAATGAAGCACTGGCATAAGTAATCCATTAAATAAAGCATTATTAAGACTCGAATTCACAACCAACTCTGTGTGTGTGTGTGTGGGGGGGTGTGAGTGTGGGTGTGTGTGTGTTTGTGTGTTTTAGGAATTTTGCTTGGCAATTTACATACAGGTTCTCATCTACAATAGCACACTTTCTGTAACTTTCTGGAAATCTCTTAAAAGAAAGAGGTCTTCTATTTCTACTTTTTTACCATAATGAATGTTATCATTTCCCTTTTGAGGCACATGAATTAATCTCTCTTATTAATGTAAAAGATTCAGTTAGATTTAAAAAAACAATTACAGGCTGATACATTAAAAACCCATTGTGGGCTCTTTCAGCATAATTGGAAAATACTGGGCTGCTGTGTGATTTATGACACACAAGCAGAAAACAGATCTGATGAAAAAGCTATCCAACCAGAAAGTTGGTTGTGGTGGTACAAGCTGGCCTGTCTTTGGAGGGACTGGAGCCAAGGCTGGGGTTCAGAACTGGGTGACAGTTCAGTTCCTCTTAGCTCTGAGTGCCCCAGGGACTTGTGAGGGTCTTGGTCTGTCAAGGGTGCGTCCACTTTTTCCATCTGTTTATATTGTTGAGCATGGAAAGCCACTTTAGCTGTACAGCATCTTTTGTGCATCTGCATCATTAATTCAGACCACCAGATGACTGAGCTGCATCTGGTACTGCCTGGTTTAAGCTGTACTTTCTTCTGTTCAGTCCCTTTCAGGCATCGCTTCTGAATGGGATCAGTCGTGTTGGCTTTGACAATTCTGCCAAACAATTCTAAAAGGTAGGACTTAAAGCTTAGACCTATACATAATGAATCTCTCTTGGGGACCCTAGATTTGAGAGTTTAAGTAGACCTTAGATGTTTTGCTGATTGGTTGTGATATGTTTGCATTTCTGCACCCAAGCATGTGATCTGCTGGACCTCCTGAATTAGAGAAGGATTGTGAGGCCACAGTCTGTATGCAGCAGGAGAGAATGTCACAATTGACTGGTGATGCTGCCACTTTCAAGGATGGGGAAGAACCAATGACTGAGTGGCTGACATCCTGAATCAGTCTAGTCTAAGGCAGAACCAGAGCTACCACTGCTTCCAAGTCCCCATCCCAGCCAATGGCTGGTTCTAAACACCAGAAGAACATCAAAAATAAACTCACAAAATAAACTCTGATCTACAAGAATGAGCAAAGCATCCCGTTGCAAAAGTGAAAACAAAAAAAGGTATGACCCCAGTACCTGGATGGCTCCTCTCAGGTTAATTCCGGTTTCGATGGCGACATAGTATGAGGCTTGCAGGAATGTCCTTTGCAGTAGCAGGGCGAGGAACAGAAGCACAGCCAAGACATAGGCATTGCCAAGGAACTCTTGGGAAGAGACAAAGTAAACCCCGAGAAACTGTGTCTGTGGGAGAGAGAAGGCCAGTGGTGGAGGTTGCTGCCAGAAAAGTGACACTCACTGTCAGTATAGGTCACAACGTTATGGTTGGATTACTGTGAGAGCCTCCGTGTTTGCAAAGCCTGTGTGATTCTTTGTGAAGAACTCGGGATGAGGACCTGGGAGGTTGGCTCTGTTGGTAAAGTTCTTGCTGGGCAAGCCTGAGGATCTGAGTTCAACCCTTGGCACCCACATAAAAAAGCTGGCGGTAGCAGTGTGTAATCCCAGTACTGGGGAGATGGGTAGGAAGATTCCCAAAGGACTAGCTGGCCAGCCAGTGGCTGAATCAGTGAGCTCTGGGTTCAGTGTGAGTTCTTCTCTCAAAAAATAAGACAGAACTGGTCAGATGGCTCAGTGGATAAAAGTGCTTGCTGTGCAAGCCTGGCCACCTGAGTTTGGTCCCTGGAACCCACATTAAGGAGGAAGGGAAAACCAACTCCAGAGAGTTGTCCTTTGACCTCCACATCCTCCACATGTGTACTGGGGCACACTCATCCCCTCTCTCTAATAATAAATAACATATTTTAAAATTAAAAATAAAGCACAAAGCAATTGGGGAAGACACCTGACACTGCCCCCTGGCCCCACATGTGTGCATATACTGCACACACACACACACACACACACACACACACACACACACACCTAGACTGATGAATACAACAAATCTGCAGCAAAGAATGCCTCTACCTCTGTCATCTTCCCACTTGGGGAACAGAATGAGGCTCAGTTCTAACCTCAGGCATACATGACTCTCAGCATCTCTACCTCCATGCCCCTGGGAGTTTACTCTGAATGGAACAAGAATAAATAGAGCAGATCATGGAGGAGTCCAAACAGAACAGCTACAGCAAATGGCATGTGTTCTCTGCCTCAGAAATGGAATCAACAATCTGCTGAGCAGTGACTTCTGTATGTGTGGGGAGGTGGCTGGGAGTGGGGCAGACGGGGACAGGGTGAGACCTGGTGTTGACTGTTCCCGGGGGAAGGATGGGAATGAAGGGAATGAAGCATTGACAAGACCACATGGGAGCTCCAGCCCCGTTGACTCCCAGGACCTCTTTTTAAGTTTCAGTCAGCTTCTCTGAACTCCAGCAAGACCCCAGATAATAATCATGGAAAACATTTTGCCTTTGTGCTAAAGATACCAGGAAGCACCAGCTTGCCTGTTTCCCAATCCAGCACCACTGGCTCCCAGGAAAACTTTGATTTTTGGCTGCCATCACCCTCCAGCACTGCCATGTCAATCTTCCCATGAAGACGAAACTCTCACCTTTCTGACACTGTACCCTGACTGTGGACATCTGGAAGGATGTGGGAGGTGCCATGGGATAGATAGAGATGGGAACAAAATGAGGAGAAACTCAAGATCATGACCTTGGCAGTAATCAGGCCAAAGAGACCAGAGCTCCCTCAGTAACTCTTCCAAGAATCAAAAGTTCCTGAATGTTGGCTTAGGGGCCAAGATGGTGGAAGACTTTACTGTCTAGAGTATCAGAGGAGACTTGTCTACTAGCCTTCGAAGCTCATGGAACTGCCTGGTCCTGCCCACAGCCACCTCTCTGTAGCCACACAGGACAGGCACTAGCAAGGAGGCCAAATGAGAAACACTCTAGGAAGGCCCTGCTGAGATCCAGAGCTGCTGAGATCCAGAGCTCCTGAGTCACGGTGCCACTGCAGAAACCAAGGGAAGGGTGGAAGGCAGGAGGGTCATGTGGACTAGAGGCAGCAGCTCTTAGCCTTATGGATTGGAAGGGGTGAGAGATAAGACATCAGGAAGCATAGTGCTCCTTCTGCTACATCTGGGGCCCTGCTTTATTTACACAGGAGGAAATAAAAATTTCATCGTGGTGAAGTGGCTAGCACAAGGCTATGTGCTAGTTAGAGACAGCATGTGAACATGGACCTGCGTGATACTAAAGACTGCCTCAGACCCACTGTCCAGATCTCATTTGGCCGTCTGACTCGGAGTCACACTCAGATTTGTGGCTTGTGGCAGATGGAAATATACCCATTTGGCTGGCTCTGGATCAAAAAACACAGGCACAATGAACTGTTTACAGTTTACTGCTTAACCGGGTCCTGTTTAACAGTCCCTATTCCAGCACCCTCTCAGAGGCTCAGCTCTGGAGAAAGCCAAGCATGAGATCAGTATCACCCTTACTAATGTAACTAAGTAATGGCTGTGTACACAAAGCTATTTATCCCTGAATTACAGCATGGTAGGGTGCAAGAGCTGTGCAATGTCCAGCCACAGGGACGGTTAGGGACACTCAGATACTCATGGGAAGATTATGCAGCCAACATCCCTGGTCCTCATGATGGACAGCCATGACCTGTGATGCCACAACCACCAGAGTGCAGCTGGGCTAGAGCGAGGACAGGAAAGCCAACTGAGCATCTATGCTGGCCAGATAGGCGGTGGT